TTAATTTTCAGTAACATATTTTATTAATAAATATAATAGTACATAATACTCATTAGTCATTAGTCATTACACATTACTATGATTAAAATAAATAATTGAAAACTTACGAGGTCTATCCAATGTTTTGTAATATTGTTCAATATATTGATCTCTTTCTCGGTGAGATCTTCGACTATCTCTTTCTTCTTCATCTTCTCGTTTTTTTAATTTCACATTTGAATCTCTAGAATCAGTTTCTTCTTTTTTTTTATGTTTGTAATCTGTTGTACGATACCGTTCTTCTTTTTCCATCTTTTTTTTTTGTAAAAGATTTCTCAAATCATTTTCCTTTAAAAATAAATATTCTTACACATATATATACATATTATACAGAATTTTTAATACAAGACAAACATTATTTAAAAAATAACTAAAATTTTTAAAACATATATATATTTTTTAGGTAATTTAGAGTTATAGCAAACATATTTAATATTAAATTCCTAGGCAGAATTTTTCATGTTAAAAATTACATTTAAAATGATTATTTAATCAATTATAAGCAGGGTTTGGGACTTATAGCACTTAAAAGCACTATAATAAGCGCTAAAATATGCACTTAAAAACCCTAGAATATGCACAAAAAATTAAAAAATATGCATTYAATATATTTATTATTTTATTAATACCTAATTATTAATTACAATTAGTGTCACATAAAAAATATATAGTATATAGTAAATATATATACAACATATATAGTAAATAGGTACATAGATTGCATTACTATTTATTTTTTTTAGGTCTGTTGAAATTTTGGATAATTTTCCAAAATATGCAAAATAAGCACAATAACGTAAAAATAAGCACTTTCCTGCGAAATGTATGAAATATGCAAAAATATGCACATTCAAATTTTGGATTTGGTATCACGACATTGAGAAATGAATTTGTTTTATACTCTGCTACATTTTACAATAAATAAAAAAAGTATGCAAATGCTATAAGTCCCAAACCCTGATTATACGTATTTAATATTTAGAAGCAAAGTGAAGCTGCAAAGGGGTAATCCTCAAAAATGTGATTCACTAATTACCTCATCTTAACTAGTAAAAATTATGTTTTATAATGAATAGTAATGAAACAAAAAAATGTTTGATTTTTTAAATAACAAGAAGAATAAAAAAAATTATACTGTATTATTTGATGAACAGTTTATTTTTATAACCAGGTTTGTGTTATTATTATACCTTAAGTATTTCATCTCTGTACGGCTTATCATGTTTAGAATGTTTATCATGACTATAACCACTCCTTTTTTTATATCGATCCCAATCACCATTTTCACCTCTGGATTCTACTTTATAATAATCATCTTCCTTTTTTGATCTTTTGTTTCTCAGGGCAAATTCTTCCTCGCTGTAAAAATAAATTAAATAGTAAAGGTATTGTCATTAAATTCAGATATAGGTTGGCATCTAGATACAGGAATGATTCCACCATTCGTTTCCAAAGTTATGAAGTTTAGACGCAGCAGTAAGAACATACAATTATAATTTATTTAAATTTAACACATTTATTGTACAATCTATACAGCTGTGGTAACTGTAAGCTAGTGGTGGTGAGTGATTTAAAAATTCACAGACTTCAATTTAAACTTAAGAATTGTGAACTATATATTTTTAATGTCAAATAAATTAACTAGATTAATAAACATATTTAATTTATTGTTCAACCTACTAATATGGTCAATATTGATAGTTGTGCTAAATCTGTTTAGTAATATTATTAAATTGAAGTATTACCGAGTATGTCTGTGCTTTCGTTTCTCAAGATGTCTGGAATGATGTTTTTTTGTTGGATCCTAAATATTTAAATAAATTTAATACTGATTAGAAAAAAATTGTGATTTCCTTAACCATACATTTTTAATAAAAATATAATTACTTTTGAGTGTTTGTGATGACTTGTCACCTTATGCCTTGACTTGTGCACTCTAGCTTGTGGTGGTTTTATTGTTAATGTATGATCTAGAGCAACGTCATCTTCATCAGTTCCCCCATTACTAAAATATTTAAAATCATTTGATTAACATCACAGGACTACATGAGTACTACACTAGAAGTTAATAATAGCAAAGGAAAATCATTAATTTTTACATTTTTTTAGCATGCAGTTTATCCGCTCGAATTTTATCCTCTTCAATAACCCTACACGGTTAAAATATTTATAAAATACATTAGTAAGACAATACAATAATATCACATTATTGTAATATAAATATAATACCTACTGTTTAAGAGAATACCATAACCCCCCCCCCTTATTATTACAAACTTACAATTATATAACAAAGCAAATTTTACGATCACAATAATCCTTTTCACTGTTATAATATTAATTTAAAATTAAGATTATTATCTAAGGTATCTCATAGGTTTTTATTGATGTTTTAACTTTGAAGCAATTAAAGATTGACTACAATTATTGAAAAAAATATAGTTTTAAAATGTCAATACTTGCTAAAACATCAATAAAAACGACAAATTTATTCACATGCTTTAATAAAATTAAGGTTAATAAATAAAATGTTTAATATTATTTGTAAGTATGTATTGTATCAACTTGTAAGACTTGAAATAAATTAAATTAAAAAGCACTAGTTATGATAATAAGAATATTATGTGCTTATGACGTTCTAAAACATTAACAAGTCAATTCGGTGATGATATAGAAAAAAATTTGTCAAACAACTGTGTAAAATGCAAGTATAGTTGTTAATCGATTCGAGAATGCATTACAAATACAAAGCGTATTGACAAAACAAATAGTAAGTTGTTCTTATTGTCATATGTTATAACTATTACCTGCTTGACTGTGAATTTGAATCCATAGTTAGGTGAAAAATAATAAATTATTGTTAAATGTACCTATTTTTAATTGTTAAAGATCGTTTATAATTGCATTTTTGATCGAAAGGAATAATAGGTATCTATCACTTATTATCATCTAGTTATTATGAAATATGAATATACTTAAAAATTTAAATATACTTTACGACTTGCACAAAGCACAAAATGCACAACGCGATTGTTTATGTAAACATTATCGACCTTTTATCGTGGTGCCACCAAACTTATCATTATTTAATATTATCATAGATAATATTATCACACAACAATTTAATATTTATTTATTTATTTATTTATTTATATTCATCGTAAGACCTTTAGATATAACGATAATACCTATAAGCAACATGTTGTATAAATCTATGGTTCTACCACTTAAAATAAAGTATTCACCAACTTACACGATTTAAGAATATTATGGTAGACGTCAGTCGTGTAACCCACGGATAATAGACATATCTATTATCCGTGAGTGTAACCAACATGCATTTATCAATCACCATAGATATTAAATGATAAATATTAAATAATCATTTATTATCTATGTCAAATTGTCAATCACCAACGGCTACAACGAACCAAAAACTTGGCCTGCTCCGGAGCCAGCCATGGCCCATGGTCCATGGTCATCACTAATCGCCAATCGGTCAAAAAGTCCGCCAGTCAGGTGACAGAATGTCATAGACATATTAATATGTCTATGCAAAATGTCCATTTTGAAAAAAGATGAACTAAAAGTCCGGATTTATCTTTTTAATGTCTGACAAAAATTCCGAGCACATTTCAGACAATAAGTCTCAATAAATAATTAAAATATTTTATTACATTTTTTATTTTTATCTATAATTATATTATAGATAGGTATTTCATACTACACAAAACAAATAATTCAATAGGTACAAACATGGTTATTTTGACTTAGGTAATTTAAATTATTACTGTAATAATGGTCGATATTTGTATTGAATTATTTAAAATTATTATTACTGTTGTAGGCATCGTGGTTTGTATTGAATTATTTGTTTTGTGTAGTATGAAATACCTATTTATACCTATATAATATAATTATAGATGAAAATTTAATAAAATATTTTAGTTATATTTTCGGACTTTTTATCCATTTCTTTTCAAAATGGACTTTTTGTCCCCGGACTTTTCAATTTTCATCCGGGATTCGTGTGGAAAAGTGATTTTTCTGGTTATTCTGTGATAATATTCTGAACTGTGGTCACAATATCTTGTCTATAGTCAACAGCAGCAGTGTGACCAGAATAGGCGTAAAAATATTTACTAAAAACAATCGCGATTTACGATTGTCTGTTTCTTGCATTTTTGATTACTTTATAGTTTATACTTACTAAGTACAAGTTATTCAGTAATTCAGATTCAGAAAATTCAGTATACCTTTAAGGCTTTAACCTTGTGTCTTGTAACAAATAGTTACTCTGTTACTCACAAGTCACGATCACAAAAACAGAAAAATATTGAAATTCAAAATCAATCAGTATTTAATAATATGTTAACAATTCTATACTTCAGAATTCTGTAGTATCGACTATCCACATGCTACAAGGATATTAGGAAATCTGAAATTGTGTATTTACAATTTTCAAATTTTGAATCAACATATTTTATTAGATAGGACAGGTGTCATGGCGAATCGTCGGGTTTGCGGATAATACGATTACGATATAACATCTACCATCGCGTGCGAGTGTTATGGCCTATGGGACGATCATAATAATAAATATAGAAAAGAAAAAAGTGGAAAACCAATTAACTGACATCGAGTTTCGTCAATATCGATATATTCGATGTCCATAACGTCTAAACTCCAAAGGCCTAGTGGAGAATATTTGTTCAACGTACAATTAATGTACAATAAAAATGGTTCCCGATTATGATGTTATAAATTTATAATGGCAAATGCCTGTGACTTCTAGATACCCCCTACAAAGACAAATAATATATAAATATATATTTTATGTTATGACTTCTTGAAACCATGTGTGAAATGTGAATACTGAATGCGACTACAACTGAATACTGATACCGTAATTTAGTTGTTGCAACTTACTACTTACAATACTCTTATCAATTTCGGAATCTTCCTGATCAGTGATCACCTTTTTTTTTTTGTATTCACAAATTCACAATTATTCTATTTGAAACTTTTCTAGTAAAATTTTCGTCACAACTTTTTCCCTCTAAAACAATATTATTTATATTTGTATACATTATCTGGTCAAAAATTGAAAGGGTCAAATCTTTCGCCTCGATTTTGCTGTGCTGCATACGGTATTCAGAACCGTCTAGTCGCCGTGGTCGTATATTGCTGATTTTTGTTATCTCGTTATTACTGAGTAAGTAAAATCACAGTTATTTTCATTAATGATTTTGGGTTTGTAGAAATTTGTCCTCTCTTTAAAAGCACATTCACGTTGTAATTAATTAATTGGTAACTGACTGAGGTATTCAACAAAAATACTTTATCTCGACATTTTGTCTTTTGATTGACTTATGCAAATTTTTGGTTTACCTACTGTGTACTAAGCAATCTTCTTACACAATTTTTTATATTTTAATTGATTATTATTTTCATTTTGATTTTCAATATTTCTTTAATTTTGATTTTGATATTTTATGAACATCAGTAAAATTTGTACTTATTGGGAGTAACCTTGTTAAAATATTTGCAATTATTAGGTAGGTTTAGGTAGATAAATGTAATTTTTTTTTATTTCACTAATATAAAAAAATCAGTTTACCTACCTAGTATCTTTAAAAWTCCAATTTAAAAAAAAGTCTTTTAACTAGGATATTCGTTATGTAAAAACTATAGAGTACTAATCATTTTGTAATAAAAAAATAACACTTCTTGAAATGTTGGATTTTGATCACTCCCTACCTAAATTTAATCAAAATATGATTTTATTTGTTAGTAAAATGAATGAAAATATTAAGTTTGTCAAATTACTAGTCTTAAAAAATATCTATTTTCAATGTGCTATTTAACTATGTTACATGATTAGGTATAGTTATTGATAATAATATTCAAAATTTACAACTAGTATTAGTAAAATAAGTATATTATTTGTAAAAGATACACTGTTAATGAACTAGTTGTATCCATTTCTTTAATTTATTATTTTCATCTAATTGTTGTTATTTCCTGTGCCGAGTCTTTGCCAACTATTATGTATTCAACTTTATGTAATTTTAAACTTGTCTTAGTTAGAACTTTTTTTTTGACATTCAAAAACAAAATATTGTGAAACATTTTTGCAGGATTCCACATATCAAATGAATGTTAATTATTTGATATGCCATCGGAATTTGTTACGATACAAAAAGTAGAACTGTCTACATTAAAGTATTCTCAAGTCAATCAACGGCTCTTGTCTACTACTAAGTCGATGGAAGACATTCTTTATCATCTACGACACAATATCGTCMATTTTAAAAGTTCCTTGACATTATTACTTTGCCAAACCTTAGCAAATAGAACAAAAAGTCAGGTTGCTAATATATTTTTCAAAACAGATGGAAACGGAAAATGGTATCGAAAATATACCATTGCCAAGCGATTCACCATTAATCAGACACCCAAGAGGCTTAGAGAACACTACACGAGTTGAAAATCACGATTCATTCTTGTCCCACTGTCTTCCAAAGAATATTATTTTAACTGATTTAATTCATACTTTTAGACAACGAGCAAAAAGTCCTATTTCAAAAAGACCTGTTGTTTTAAACTCTTCTAAATCATTCATTGATGTCAATGTGACTAGAACTGGTCTACGCAATGTAGATCTATATGAAATAATTTCACAAATCGGTGAAGGTTCATATGGCCAAGTTTACAAAGCCAAAGAAAAAAAAACCAATAATTTTGTGGCATTAAAAAAAGTGAGATTAGAACATGAATCCGAAGGCTTTCCAATTACGGCAATAAGAGAAATCAAAATTTTAAGACAGCTGAATCATCCAAATGTAGTTAGTTTAAAAGAAGTTGTTACTGATAAGGAAGATTCGTACGAATTCAAAAAAGGTGGTGGCTCATTTTATCTTGTGTTCGAGTACATGGATCATGATCTTACTGGCCTAATAGAATCTGGCATGGTAGATTTTTCAGTGAGAGATAATGCCATCATTATGCGTCAATTGCTAGAGGGCTTAAATTATTGTCACAAGCAAAATTTCATTCACAGAGATATTAAATGTAGTAATATACTGCTCAATAATAAAGGTGAATTGAAACTAGCCGATTTAGGTCTTGCAAGGTTATTTGATAATGAGCAAGTTCGTTTATACACAAACAAAGTAGTTACTTTGCGATATAGACCACCTGAACTTTTGTTAGGAGAAGAGAGATATGGCCCATCAGTTGATATTTGGTCTTGTGGATGTATCTTAGGTGAGTTACCCATTTAATGTACCAAATAATAGTTATTAAAACTTTGATTTACCATTGCAGGAGAACTTTTCATCAAAAAAAATATGTTTCATGGCAAAGATGAGTTTGATCAACTAGAGTTAATATCTCAGCTTTGCGGTAGTCCTTGTCCAGCTAACTGGCCAGAAGTCATAAAACTGCCATACTGGAAGTTTATAAGTCAAAAAAAACTGCACAGTCGAAAACTTAGTGATCATTATGACTTCATCGGAAATGATGCTTTTGAACTGTTGGACAAAATGTTAACTCTGGATCCCAGTAAACGCATCACTGCCGAGAATGCATTAACATGTACTTGGTTGGCGAACATAGACACCAATACCTGCATTTCATTACCTACTTGGCAAGATTGTCATGAACTTTGGAGTAGAAAGCGTAAAGGTCGATCAACTACTTCCAGGAATAACTCTTCTCTCCGTTCCATGAAGAAAGATCGCAATCAATCAGAGAACAAAACTCGAACTTAAATTGTTAACACATATTGTAATTTGACGAATTTTAATTATTTTCATTCAAGGGTAAAATTCCTAAAATAAAATATTTAAAAACTATTATAWTAGGAAATATGTTGAAAATTATTTAATGTATCTTGAAACCCTGTCAGCTGTTTCATAGGGTATTTTAGTTTTATTATACAATAATATTATGGTATGGAGTCAATTTTTATTATTATAGTTATTCATTTTGAGTTATTTTATTTTCAGATAGGAATTGTATCAAAACCAAATATATATATACTATAATATTGTATGCATATACATGGTATTGTGTACCAAGTAAAACATCTCTATACAATGATTTCTTACCTATTAAGCATTTCTACAATTCTTTTGAGTGTTATCATGAAGGCTCCACAAATTATTCGGATTTACAATCAAAAGCAAACGGGCGGTATCAATTTAACTTCTTTACTTCTGGATTTAATCAAGTAAAATTATACAAACACATATATGTATTAACATTTGGAAAGTTTAATCTATAAATATAAATGTGTAAATGTATAAGCTTTATAACTTAAAATTGATAACTAAATAGTAAAAACAAGTAAGAATTGATTAAACTATTAATTCTAAAACTATGCTAGGTAATAATTTCAGTTATTTTTATATTGTAGTTAGTTTTTTGTAAAAATTAATAAAACAATAATTGTCTAGTGAATATTAGTCTGCCTGCATTAACAGTTTTACTATTTTATTAACATAAATAAATCTAGTACCCAGAAATCTATACATTTGCATGTTTATATTGAATTATCCAAAAAATAGCTGATTAGATTGATCAGTTACAAGAAAACTAAAATAGAAAATTATAATTTGTGTTTTGGCCGTTTTAAGATATATTCCATCAATCTTTGGTAACAAATTAATAAAATTATACCTCAAGTTTTTGTTAAAATCTCATATTTTTCTGTAAGATTCAATTTGAAGAAAGCTTTCAGATTATTAAAGTTGTTAGTTATTATAAAGTTATTATTGCATGCTTATACTRTTATATTGATCAATTATTAACATTTATAATGTATGCAATTCTGGTCTCGGATAAATAATAAATTATTATTTGTGATTGTATTGTGTGTTACCTGTTTTTCAGTTTAAGTACAACAACTTGTTACAATTATACAAACAATTATTCACTAATGGCATATATGGAGTATCCAATAATACTTTTTCAACAGTATCTTCTCATTGGTATTGTTCTATTTTACAATAATCGCTTAAATCTCAAGGTTTTGATTTTAAGTGTATTGTATGTTGGATTGTTCTCCGCATTTATTTGCAAACTTTTGCCTTCCTCTATACTTACTATTTTAGTAGTATGTTAATTTTACAACATTTAAATCGTTTCATAGTATTATATTCAAAATGATTGAATATAATTAATTTGTATTATTTTAGCCATTTGGTACACCAATATCATTATCAAGTAAATGTTTACAGTTGTTCACTATATTGAAATTTAAAAACGCTGATAGCATAAGCCTGACTTCTTGGTTGATTTCTGCATACACAAATGGAGGTAAGTTTTAATTTTCAGCTTTAATAATATTATTTTTGATCAATCCTAAACTTATCAAAACAAAATATTGACAAGCATCTAAGGTAAATCATAGAACAATATTGTTCTATGTTAATATCAGTAATAAAGATAAAAATAAGAGGTTTTCATAATTGTATGTTATATTCCTAATTTAATGTTTGTAAACTAAATATTTTCAAACTAGTTCACAATATTTCTTCTTTATTCGAGCAATTTAATTACCTTAATACAGAACTTCAAATATTATAACATGTAGCTTGGTGTCTACATTCAGTTCCGTACATGCTCYGAGTATACCCAACGACCAGCGTTGCTAGCTCCTGAGTGGGTGACCACTCATGTTTTTTAGCAACAACTTCTTGGCACACTTACAGTACATGCCCCAAACCAACTGTTCCCTGTTCCCTCTACAAACAAGCTAATGGCCATAGTTGCTGGGCTTAGAATAAATAAATAAAAAATTATACAACAGTAAATATTTTAATAATCATATTTAACAATTTTTACAATCAAGTACCCAAGTGCATAATACTGTTCTTAGTTCTAGACTAGTAATTTACACATTTTATTTTATTTAACAATAATTTGTATATTCTATTTCTAGCTAGGATATATACAATATCAGTGGATTCAGCAGATAAAATAATGCTCACAAATTTTTGCCTGAATACCTCATTAAGCACCAGCATATTATTAGCAAGTGTTTATTATAAACAAACTTCAGCAAAACATATTTCATAAAGTTTTTTATTACTTATCTGTATAAAATTTACTACATAAAACAATTTAGTTGGTATCAACATAATAGTTCAAGTTTTATAATATTTAATAATTGTTATTAATATATTTCCAATTTACTGAAATATCATATAACCTATTTAATATTTATAACTGTATTGTATTATTGTATTGTAATAATTGAATAGTGTTCTGTTATGCTGTATGAATCATTATTAGAATAAACAAGTATAGGCAGCTAATAATTTCATAAAATATTTAAATATAATGTATAAACTGCTAATTTTATCTACTCTTCAAATTAATACTAATACAAATTAATAAAAAGAGATTAATTTATATTTTGTACATATCATCAGTGTTTAATAATATAAGTATATATTTTATTCTTAGAATATATTGTGTAAATAATAATTTTTTAATAATATGTGTTWTTTTATAAACTGAGTAAAATTCATTGATTGATGCTTATTAGTAGGATTCAGATTTATATGTAAAAACATATTTTTATTATGACTTGATAAATTAATTTAGGTAAGTCATAAATTCGTTTCGAGGGATTTACAATGAAATTAACTATATTTTATTTTACATATTTTTCCATAAATACATGTTTTTACAAATTTCTAAATAATTCCATTCTTCCCTACATATTTGGATAATTTGTTCATTTACAATATTTTATTATTAAATAATAATTATTAATTTATACGATTGAATTTTTTATTTTTTTATTTCAAATTTCCTGTGTTTCCAAAAGTACAAAATAATACCAATTATTAAACTTACGGTTGTATGTTTGATATATTATGAATTCAATAAACATTAATTATTAACTAATGATTTATTAATATGTGTTTGAATTTGAACTACTGACATTAAGTTAGTAGACCTACATTAACGAATGGGCTGTTTCGTGGGTTAAACTGTGTTAGTGTGTTCRTTTGTTATTCAAGATAATTCGACAGTTAGGTAAATATATTTTTTTTGTTTTTGATAATACATATGAACTTTTTACTACATATTTTTGTTGTATAAATATATATTTTATTTATATAAATACATATAAATCCGAGCCCTACTTAATAGTATTCAGTGCTTGATGTATATTTTTCTTAAACGCAAAATTTATTTCACCTCCCATGAAAGTGATTCTCATTAATCATGCGTTTTACATTTAAATCGTACAATTCACATTATGTTTCTATTGTAATTGTATATAATATACTGAACTGTGTACTTATAGTTACTAGTTAGTCACGTCAACCTGAATAAAATAAATTTTTCATCATTTGAATTGACGTCTAAAAAATAATAATATCTGAACTGTTATCATGGAACAATCAAAACGTTACCATTCTTCCATAATATTCGTGTGAAGGTCACCGTCGCTCATAATACGTTGATAAGCCATTCATGATTTTGATAAAAATGAAAACACACAACTTAAATAAATAATGATTTATTCCATCCGTTTCTATGAGACGATTTCCCCCGTCTTTTTTATCCAAACCRTCCAGTGACGAAGCTAAAGGTTTTCGTCAAATTCCGTGGTTGATTTCGTCGAGCAGAAATCGTTCGGTCAATCGAATCGTTGTGTTTTTTCTACCATCTTACGTGCTTCGCTTAACAAATTGTAAGTAAAATATTAAATTTTAATGTTATTGATGAAAGAAATAATAGTAAAAATATTGGCATGGGAAACCCGCTCAGCTGGACATTTTTTTTTCTTAGTTTAAGGGATGCTATGACTTCATACTACTAGCTGCTTAATGGTTAGTGTACTTGTAAGAATTGCATTTTTGTGTCTGTGCCTAGAGCAGTGGTGCTGTATCTAAATCATGCAAAATACATTTTTGTATAATTTCCTACGAACAACTTATTTGTTTCGAATGCTTTGAGTAATTTTAAATTTAGGTTTACCCATCAACAACATTTGTTTCAACATTATAGATTCTAAAGCACATTATTATTTTTAAAAGCTCGTTAATATCTAACTCAATACACCARTATGTTTTGCATATTTTTAACATCCTTAAAAGTATTGAACAATATCAATTTTACTTATTTTGTCATCAATTAGGTAATAATATATATATATATTAAATAATAAAACACAATATTTCATTAAGTTATATTATTAGATGAAACAAAAATATTACAAATAATAATATACATTTGTTTAAGAAAGTTGATGCTTTCGATTATCTGCAGATATTATACAGTTCCATATATAGTCATTAGTAAAAAGTAGTAATGGCAATGAATAAAACTAGTATCAGAAATAAACTCATACATTTGCCTCTATTCTTTAGATATTTGTTGATATTAACTATTATCGTTCATAAAAAGGTGAAAGTATGTGTGATATACTTTGAAAGTGAATTTTTACCAACTGTTCTAAGTTCAATATTTCTATCTAAAAGGTAAAATAAACAATTTTAATTTCCTTAAAAACCAAGAAGCCTTAGAATTGTTCAATAAACCAACCAACTGCAAAACAGAAAGTATTACAATGCCTAAGTATAATGTTATGTGTGTCTATTGTAATACACCTAAATAAATTATAAAATAATTTTTTAAGAATTTGGATTTAATATTTTGTTATATATTATAATTTTAAAATAAAAAAAAACATCAGTTATTTAATTTATAATAATTAAATTTTTGTCAGTGATTTTTACACAGCATATACCTTAAGTTATAGGAAGGAAATGTTTTTTGCTAAACATTTTTTAAATTCATCTTAAAACATCCAATAAATAATGGTATTTATCCCTTCCAAACATTTCTTACTGCCCTTGAATTCCATAGTGATATCCATATTTAGTAAAATCATAAATAAATTTAAAAGTTTTTACAATTTTTCTCATTTATTTCACATAAACAACATTGTAAATCTAAAAATAAAAATTCACATAAGAATGAAATTACCATTAAAATATTGTAAGGAAGGAGATACAGATGTATAGTTTGCAAGAGTGGAAGTAAGATCAGTCTAATTTTGACACTCCTTCTGACCCTATAATACGTCACTGGCTGCCTCTAGGATTTGGCACGTTGACAAACACCTAGAAATAAATCAGACTATACTCCTAACAATTTTTATATATGTCTACTATAGTAGATGATCCCACATAAAAACTTCTAACAAAATAAAGATTAACTTCAGATTCATCATTTATCATATGTCACAAATTAATAAAATTAACAATTACGATATACGTTTAAATATTATATCTAACTTAATCAAATTTATTTTATTTAAAATTTAATTGATATCTTTGTAGAAACTGAAGAAATGTTTTTACAATATAATTTTAGTGACCTAAGTATTATTGTGAAAAAAGGAACAATATTTGTACCATTTAGGTATTTATTATATTTTCAGTTTCAAAGTATAAACTTACTAGTGAAGTAGTGAGTCATTCATTACAGTCTCAACATTAAACAATTTCACCAATCAGAAATAAGATAAAAATAGTGGTAGTGGTGGGAAGCATTTTTTAGCATAGCGGCAGTTGGCTTTCATAATTGAAGCACAATGTTATATAGCTCACATATTATTTCGAAATACTATGTAATTTGATATGAAATTTATATTTTGATCTTTTACAGAAATATGTAAGAAAACATTTTGGTGACTATAAAGATTTTCATCTTTATTCATTTTTGGCATAGCTGTTGTATGTTATAGCGTAAGTATCTTATTTTTTAAATGTTATTTACAAATCATGTTTGTGTTATATTTTTTGATATTGTTATAGTTATTTGTTGAGAACATAATTGATGATATTTTATCACAATAAAACTGTTTGAATTTAGGAAATGGTGAGTCTTATTGACCGCTTGGAAGTCAATCAGGCAAAATGCCTGGTGCGCAAATTTCATGACCCACTTGATAAATCTACCGATAATGATAAATTAGAATGCTGTGTTGATAAAAATCAAACTGTTCGCCAGTTTTTTAATGTAGTTGCAAATTATTACAATTTGGATCTTGATTCTTTTTATTTGACATTTAGTTCATTCAAAACAGATTCTACATTGGAAACAAATGATAAGGTATTTATCATTATATCACAAAAATTATGTTTAAAAAAAAAAAATTATAACATAGTTAATATTTCAGCCAAAACTGGAAGCAGATGATGATCGTCTATTGATAGATGTTGGTGTAGTGTTTGGTGAGGATTCTCAAAATCGTTTTGTACTGTCAGAGAATGAAATTGAAGAATGCAATCAAGCTGAATGTATAGTACGCATACCTAAAGGGGCAAAAGTGTTTCCTTTGACAGTGGATCAAAATGAAACTGCAGGCCAATTGTATAGACGTGTATTAGAATTCTGTCAAGCAGAAGATCTGAATACAGATTTTTTTGTTTTAACTTTTAATTCCTATGACAACAATGCTGAATTGATCAAAGTATGCTTTGTTTTAAAATAATTAATCTTTGATGAGTTATTGTAAAAAAAATTCAATTTTGTTAATGTTCAGCTTATGATCAGAGAAGATGATACAAGGTTGCTGAGTGACATTGGGATTGTGTACCGTCAAGGAGTAAAAAATCGTTTTGAAATATCACTAAACAATGTATCAGATAGTATGGACAATGATAATTCATCAAAATCATGTTCGCCTACTCAAGATCATAAAGTTGAAAGTCAATACTCAAAAATTCATCCTTCAGTTCGTCGAAATGGTCTAGATTCATCATCCGTCATAGAAAATAATATATTAGAACCAACGTCACCAATGCCAATGCTAGCATTACCTTCTACCCGTATGATATATAACCGTTCAACAGATAGAACATATACAGGTTCGAATATGGACATTGATTATTATTTATTATTATGGTATATACCAATCACGTGATGAAACAAAATTGTATATTTTAAATYGTGTGAAAAGTAATTTTCAAAAAATTAAGACCATTTTAATATTACATTTCTTAGAGAATGTCTGTTATAAATGTTAAAAATTAAATAAATGAGTAATTACTATATATTAAAATGTATAAATTGTTTTATTATAGGATACAGAGGTTTAGTAAATCAAGCAATGACTTGTTACCTAAATAGTTTATTGCAAGCATTATACATGACACCAGAATTTCGAAATGCTCTGTACAAATGGAAATTTGATTTTGATGCAAACATCGACGAGTCAAAATCAATTCCGTTTCAACTCCAGAGATTATTCTTAAACCTTCAAGTAATTATTTCATAAATGATTTATCACTAAACATTATTATTAAAATATAAAATATTCTATTTAAAGACCTCACCACGACACAGTGTTGAAACAACAGAACTTACACGTAGTTTTGGTTGGGATTCTAGTGAAGCATGGCAACAGCACGATGTTCAAGAACTTTGTAGAGTCATGTTCGATGCTCTCGAACAAGAATTTAAAAATACCACTCATGTTGATCTCATAAACCAGCTTTATCAAGGTAAATTTTATTATATACATTAGGTTTGTTTATTCTGTGTACAAATCTTAGCAAGAATATCAACATGAAAAAATATAGTGTTTAGAAAATGATAATTAACTTTTTCCATCTGATGTATTTCCCTGGGACTTTTTCCCTCTAGAAAATGTTTTAGATAGATACATGATACTATATGCTGGGCCCCCACAGGGTGATGGGAGTGGTCATAAAGACCCATGGTTCTGGAGTCCGGTATTGATACAAATAATTACTTCAATATATACTAGAAAAATGTTTCAAAATTAATTATTATTTAAGAGGGACCCAAATTAAATTCTATATCATGGCCAAAAATATGATGTGGAGGGATTCAMTATATATATATACATCTTTAGTTTAAATAAACTTTTTCAGGAAAAATGATTGATTATGTGAAATGTCAAGAATGTGGAATTGAAAAATCTAGAGAAGATACATTTCTTGACATACCTTTACCTATACGTCCGTTTGGAAGTACTAACGCTTATGGATGTATAGTAAGATAGATTTTCTCTTAAGTATTATTTTAAATCTCAGTAAAACAAAATGTTTAATTTATTTAGAAAGAAGCACTACAAGGATTTACCCAACCAGAAACATTAGATGGCAATAATCAGTATTTTTGTGAACGCTGTAATAAAAAATGTAATGCTCACAAAGGTCTGAAATTCAGCAAGTTTCCATACATAATGACATTGCATTTGATGCGTTTTGATTTTGATTATAACACTATGTATCGCATCAAATTGAATGACAAGTAATATCTAATTTATTATAATACCTATTGAAAATAAATAAAATGTTTCTCTTTATTTTATTTTACTTATTTTAAAATTATAGAGTTGAGTTTCCTTTAAAACTCAATTTAAACAATTTCATATCAAATAATAAAAATGGTTCAGACAAAGAAGAAGCACTATCTGAAGGATTTCCTGAAGAATTATTTGGATCTGGTAGTAAATGTGATGACAGTAGTTATACTGGCACAGATAGTTCATCCGCGTTAGATGAAATTGATCAAGTAATTTAAAAATGTTAATTAATTTAATGTATATATTAACTAACAATATTTATATATATATTTCAGGATGAAGATGAAGGTATTGACCTTACCCAGCACAGGCATGAAGATAAACGTGGAGGAGATTTGAACTCAGAAAATGAACCGATTGGGCCTTATATGTATGAACTTTATGCCATCATGATACATTCTGGCAGTGCRTCAGGGGGACACTATTATGCATATATTAAAGATTTTAAAACTGATCAATGGTTATGTTTTAATGATCAATCTGTGTCAGTGGTAAGTGCAATATTAACCTAACATTRTTAAATTATGTTATTTGCAAACAATTTTCAAAAATGTCTATACATGTATTTTTGTCTTTCAAAACATTAGATCACAATGGACGATATCGAAAGAAGTTTTGGTGGTGGTCCTATACGAGGATATTATTCAGGCCAATACACGTCTAGCACTAATGCATATATGCTCATGTACAGACAAATTGATCACAGAAGAAATAAAAACGCAATGACGCAAGAAGAATTTCCTCCGCATTTAAAAGAACTTCATAACTTACTTGAAAGAAAAGCCGAAGAAGACAGACAGATGAGAGAAAGAGAACGAGACATGTATAAAGTGCCCGTACACTTAGCTGATTTTATGGAATCTGGTATTCGTAGTTGGCAATTTGATTGTAGCGGAACTACTACTGTTGAACAATTAAAGGCTATGGCTATTGAGGTAACCATTAGATTAATTGATTTATGTTTAATAACAATTTATATTTACAAATTATAAGTGGAAGATTTTAAATTTTAGCATTTTAGAATCACCAAACCCTGTCGGTTAGTTATTTTCAATAAACAGGATCAAAAAGTTCTTGAAAATTTGGAAGATAAGAGTAATTATTTAGTATGTCACTTGAAATATTCCTTGACATTTGTATTGTTACTCCAATTGATTGACACAGAAGACAATAGAAGTGTTGTATCTACTCCAGGATGTAAGAATAACAACTTGGATTTAAAATAATAATAATTGTATATTACATGTACTAATATGTAGTTTCTTGGTCAGATGTTTTGATGAAATTGTTTATAATAAACTTGGATGACAATGAAGAAGATATTGATGTAAGTCAGCCAGTTGAAATTGAAATTGAACAAAATAATGAAATAAAAGACCTCCGTAATCTGCTTTATGCAAAATATGATATTCCCAGTGAATCAGTGTTGCATTTCGCTATTCAGAACAGTTCAAAACCAACATTACTTGAAGATAGTGCACCATGTTCATCTATCTACACTAATTATGTATGTAAAATACATATAAATACACTTTACACAAATACATTTTATGTATATAAAACATTATTTTCATTTAACAGTTGTGCTCATGGTCTATTTAACTACTATTTTTTCAACAGGTTTTTGTATTCATCGAACGTCATGCCATCGAACAATCAGTCTTATCGCACAAGATGAAAAACATAATCACAAGATATGACAATACAATCCTATTACAATTTATAATGCCAACAAAAGATACAGGTATAGTGTTTCACTGTTTTTATGACTAAAATATTGTGATGTTACTGATCACTTATGTATTCAAACATTTTTCACCAGAAAACATGTAAGAATTTTTGATTTCACTGCACAAATTATCATTTTAAACATTACACTTGTTATTAACTTGACTCTTGTTAATATTATTCTTTAATTGTAAACAATGTACTATATTTTATATGGTTTAAATGATAGTTCTTATGGTATTAAGAGGATGTCGCACTTTTAAATATTGTCTCCACCTTACACATGTATGACATGACAATTTTTATTCACCAGTTTCAATTGTTTGGTAATATCAATAATATCAATAAAAGCCTACATGAGATCCTGAATAATAATCTCACCTTTAAATTGTATATTAAGTCAATTCACTCATAATATCAAAACTAACTGCACACTATTGTAACTGGTGAATAAAAATTTGCCTTGTCAGTTTTACATGTTTAAGACGGAGACAATACATAAGAGTGCAACGTCTTCTAAAAGGGTTAAAACACAATCATCATTAAACTGTCAGATATAATATGGTATTCTAAATTAATAATTAAAAATTTCTATTTTTCAGAAACTTTACATAAATTGATGTCATCATACAATAAAAATTCTGTAAATGGCTATATTGAAGATCTGTCTATGCAACCATTAGAAAAACAAATTCCAGGTGTGTTAGAAGGTACGTAATAATATATTTTTCTTTCCTGCATTTTTAAATTATATATTATAATTTTTGTCTTGTTCAGTGGATTGTGATCAGTCAACTGAGGACAATAATTTAGTTGCCAATTCTGAGGACATGTGTGTTGTAGCTAGTGGAAGTGGAAGTGGTGATCAGAGCGAGGACAGTAGTATAACAGACAGTGAAAGGTAATAATTTTTTGAGAAATTTGAATATATTTAAAATTATTCTTTTACCCTCAGAACAATCAAAGGAGATGCTGTCGAAGATTATCATATGGATTCTCCTACTTTTGAACATGATCCAATAAAGGTACATCAGTTTTTTTTTATAAAAATCTTAGTATTATATGTATAATTTGAAAATGTGTTCAGGTTTATGATCAAGGCAGASTGGAGGAAAACTGGGATGGGACTGAAGACGACGATGACGATAACGAATTCCAGTTAAATGAAAAATATTTTTTCAAAACAACAAAATTATTAGACAAAACATCTGAGGATGATGATGGTAAGCAATATAGATATATTTTGTTATAGGAATGCAGCTCTGGGTAGTTTTGATTTTTAAATATTATATCTTGCATTTACCAAGATCAACATAACCAATGTTTCTCTTATTTTTTTATATTTGCTTTAGTTGAAATTGTGTTTGAATATTTGTGTTTGTTTATCAAAACCATTTATTGTGAAATAAATATTTTACAGAAAAATTGTACGCTTATGTTGATAAACGCATGACTGTCAAAGAACTCAAAACTCAATTAATACCATACATCAACATACCATCTGATTTTATTATTCTAAATCGATGCAAATCAGATACAGAATTAGAAGAACTGGCATTACCAAGTAGTTCTTTAGAAGATTTGGCCTACTCAGACACAATTAAAATCACCATGGGTCAAGCATTACGTGATGGTGAATATCGTGGTATCATTTATTGGATCGAACCACAAGAACAGACTACAAAGGTATATAATTCATTCATAGCAACCCAACTATAAATGGATTTAAATATATAAATATAAATTATTTACCTATTTTTACTGTTATAGATTCATTTTAAGAAAATGTTTGATTGGATAATTACGGTGGGGACCTCTGTCTTAGATACCAAAAAAGAACTATTAGTTAAATTGAATAAAACTCAAAATATTGATATACCTTTAGACAGGTAAATAACTTGACAACTGTATGAGATTTATTGTTAACTGGTGTGATTATATTTAAGGTGTCGTTTGCGTAAGAAAAAAAATGACTCTCTGATGCGATGCTACTTTAATGAAGAAATCTGGAATGAAGATATTGGTCAAGGATGGGAGATGGTCATATTGGATCTGAAAGACCGTTCTGAATTGGAGTTAAATAAAACCAAACGACTTATGTTTGTCAATCATGTAGAAGAAGCACTTCCAGGACGCTGTATAACTGAAATGGAGTTTGTTGTTGATATAGCATCTTCAACTTCTGCTAATGCACAGCTGGCCACTGAGGTGAGTGTTCTTTAAGAACTGGATTATTAAGTATGTTATTATTCTCTATTATAATAAAAATTACTGTCACTTAGATTTCCAATAAACTAAATATACCTGAAGATCAGTTAGAAATTGGTTATAAACATGGTCACTCAACTGAAATTGCTTGGAAATCCAGTGTGTTAAATTGGTCATTTAGTTTGTCTGACGACAACATCATTTTATATTGTCGGTAAGTTAATATTTAATTCAATCATAAAAAAATTATACCTTATTATATTTCCTAAGTATACTTTTTTGTGTTAATTTCTTTTAAAACCAATGTATTTTTTAATTATAGTAATGCTGCGAATAACACATCCAACAAAGAAGCACCTAAAGAATGGCGTAGGCAACGCAAAGAACGTTCCTTAAGAATACACACAATGAATAATGATTAAATATATTATGTATTGTGTAATGATTGGTAAATGCTAAATGTATTTATTACTGAAGAAGGTAAAAACCAGTTTGAAATACTTGTTTTAATCTGTCATTTTCAAAAAGAATTTAATTTTATACAGCCTGAAAACTTCTTAAAAATATCTGTTAATTATACAAAATTCTTTCGATTCGTTTTAATCATTTATGTACATTTGTTAACATCAAAAATACAAATTTCTGTTTCCTAGTTTAAATCTTTTATCTGTGATACAAAAGTTAAATAATATTAAATATAGATTTTGTAAAATGTATTAAAAAATAAAAAAATGTTTAAAGTCAAAAATTGAAAATATATTTTCTACAATATAAAAAAAAAA